CTTTTGGAATATCGGGTACTATTTTTCTGCTTGAATCAACTTTGAATCCATGTTTGAACTGCGGAATGAGAAAAGGCTAGCTAGGTGACTTTTTCAAAGCAGGCTGTCTCTTGCAAATTTCTTTCTTCCTTCATTTTTCAAAATCATGCCCTAAGTAGTTGTCCCGAGCATGTCCCTGATCCCAGCATGACAAATTTCAGATGGCACATGTAATTGTCTCAAACATGTACATAATCTCATCGGGTCATTTTGTTTTGTATTTATATTAGCATTGACGTTCAACTGTTCATTTCCTATCTTTATCTGGTCCTCCAATGGCCTAACTCTGTAGTTGTGGGACACTATGTTTTATACGAATTATCTCAATCCACCAAATTTGCCGAGTAGTTGGAAGACAGGACCATGCGATACTCATGATCTGTGTCTTGAGCAAACCCCAGTATGTGATTCTCGGCCACTAACTCTTGATTTCATAGAGAAGATTTCATCTATATAAACATACTTTCTATCAGACCAGACCAACTTAACTCAGATCTTCAAATTCTCTACCGAGATCTTTTCCTTGAACAACAAACCAGTCAGGTGCTTCCCCATTTTCTTCTACACACCAAAATCAACAAGTAGACCATGGCAATTCGTTTAACTGGAAGCCTTGCCAAGCAAATTTTCCGCCGTTCTTCAAATTCTTTTGATGTGCCAAAAGGTTTCTTGGCAGTATACGTTGGGGAGACCGAAAAGAAGCGATTTGTGGTTCCAGTATCCTATCTGAACCAGCCTATATTTCAAGATTTGCTAAGTAAAGCTGAAGAAGAGTTTGGCTTTGATCATCCAATGGGTGGTTTGACAATTCCTTGTAGAGAAGATACTTTCGTCCATGTCATTTCAAGCTTGAGCAGATCATGAGAGAATTCTTGAAGTCATTCACTGAAGAGTGAACAGAGTTTTGCCTTGCAGGAAATGCAATTCAATGTAAATAATTCTCTCTTTTTTTTAGCTGTGAAGCTTTATGAGAAGGATTGAAAAATATCCTCATGCATGTAAGAAAATTACAGAAAAGAAACAGTTTCTTTTTTAACAGGCAAGATCAGGTTTTCCTTCATAGACAATTGAATTGCATGCCCCTCTAAACATGGGAAATGAAGTATGAAAATGATTAAAATAATCAGAAAGATTAAAAATATTAATTTAAAATAAAAAAATAAATATTTTTAAAATGTTAAAATAACAAAGCTTTTAGTGATGTATTATGACGTATTATTAGAATCAACAGTGGGCAATTTACATCTTCAACCCAACGGTCACTGTAATTTAGCAGAAAACAAACCCTATTTATGTTGAATCAACAACACCGGTATTTATCTCACAACAAGGTGTTGATAAAAGGGTATGACAAACAGTTCATCTTCATCAAAATAGAACGGATAAGATTATTATCCCGTTGATATAAGAGAACCCACACCCAAATCATAGAGAACTAAAATGAGCAAACCTGAAGAGAACTCGGAAGAGAAGGTACTAACTTTTTAATGTTTTTTTTTTCAATTTGACAACTACACGTCTTTAAATCAGTAAGATAATGTAGCCTAGATGCTCAAAATTGTTTCTTGATGCAGTTTTTTACTAACCCTATTGAAAGACTTTTTTATTGCTTAACTAGGGTTTGTGGGGTTTTTGTAATGATTGAATGTGAATTCTCTTTTTTTAATTTTGATTTGGATATTTATAATTACTGGGTTTACTGAAATAATTGTGCCCAGAAAGCTAAAACTTCTTCTTATGAAAACTGTCTATTGAAACTCCTTTAAAAAGCTCTGTTTTTCTAATGATTGGTTCATTGGTGTTGTGGATAGGACTTGCTAGTTTAAGATTTTATTGCAGATGTGAACTGAATGGTTGCATCTCATTGAATTCATGAAGTGATGTTACACAGAAACCAAAGGTCGTTCTTTTCAATCTCAGCCGTAAACCTGTTTTTTTATGTCAACTGAGTTTTATATGTTCATGAACTTTGGGTAGTTTAAGTTAATAGTATTTGATTTCGATTCATACTAAAATTGTTTCCTAATACTAATAAGAAACCAGGAATCATGAGCCATTGCTCGTTAGTTGTGTTGTTACTTTCTTTGTTTTATTTGCTTTTAGGAATCGGCACAGATTTTGAACAAGAAGCTCAAAGACGTCGAAATCAGCATTCCAATAGTTTATGGCAACATAGCATTCTGGCTTGGAAAAATGTCTAACGAGTAAATAAAGTGTTAATTAATCTTCAAGTTACTGCTCATTCTTTTGTTTGTTGTGTGCTTGAATCAATGATATCAATATTTTTTCAATCAGGTATCAATCTCATAAGTGGACTATATATGTACGTGGAGCCACTAATGAGGATCTTGGTGTAGTGATAAAGCGAGCTGTTTTTCAGCTTCATTCTAGTTTCAATAATCCTACAAGAGTCATTGAGGCACCTCCTTTTGAGTTATCAGAAGCAGGCTGGGGTGAATTTGAGATTGCCATTGCACTGTATTTTCACAGTGATGTGTGTGATAAGCCTTTGAACCTGTGAGTTCCTTTGTCGGCTATGTCATTCACATTTCAGTATAAAATGTTTTTAGAACCTATGGATTTGGCCAGTTAATTTTGTAGCAAGACATTCTGTGTGTTATTGGAGTACATGGAAAACATGAACTGCTGTAAAATTATTGAAAGGTAGGATAGAACCATAAATAAGGTGAAACAAAATCCTACTCAGTTTCATATTCTTCTCCTCGCTTTGCATCATAGTAATATATATGCTTTGCTCCTTGGACATGGTCGACTCATCAGTAGCAAGGTATTAGTGGCATATAGGTTAAAACATATGGCCCTTTATCTAATCACTTGTTTGGGAATAATCAATTAGTTGACTGAACATCTAAAGTGAGTTGATTTCCAGTTTAATAAGACTGTGATGGCTGCATATCTTTTCATTTGCTAATATTGGAAAGATATGGTGATTCAGTTAGGACCAACATCATATTGCATTCCCTTATATAATGAAAAGCTTAAAAGTGGTCAAAGTTCAGAATTGGTTTGTTGAAGGCTTAAGTTATTCACAGATATCATCATTTGAAGTTGTACCCAGAAGATGAACCTGGCCCTGTGTCAATTAAGAAGCCAGTTGTTGTAGAATCATATGATGAGATCGTATTCCCAGAGCCTTCAGAGGGTTTCTTAGCTCGTGTACAGAGTCATCCAGCTGTAAATCTACCCAGATTACCTGCTGGTTTTACTTTGCCTCCTCCTAGTATGTATCTTAGCTGTCTACTGCCAGTAGTGCTCTTCGCCTTCCTTTGGATGGATAAATTTACTTCTTGTTTTCTTACAGTGCCAGTTGTGCCGGTTGAAGACACGAGTAAAAGGAAGAGAGGAGACACTAAAGATAGTCCTCTAGCCCAGTGGTTTATGAAATTCTCTGAAGCAGATAAGCTGCTGCAGCTTGCTGCAGCTCGTCAGCAGGTCAGAAAAAATTTCTTTCCTTCTCTTTTTTTTTTCCCTTATAGAAGAAATTTTATCAGGAAGGAAGAATATGAGAATGCAAACAGGAGTACATGAACCAACTTTTAGGCCTGTTATTGATGACTCAAAATAATGTGTGTTGGTGGTAATATTTGTTAAATATCACCTTCTTAATGCTTGTTCAACATTGTCTTGGAGTAAGATATATGCCACCTTAATGGGGTAGCTAGTTAGAAGGATTTGAACCATTAATAAACTGGCCTTTGGGACAGCAGGAATGGAAGAAGATAATAGGAGGGCACTATTTCCTGCAAAATGGCTCTCTACTACACAATAAATACATTAAATTGGTAGATCAAAACCTCATGGAGTTCTGTTTTACAGAAAGACTTCTAGATGGGCTGCGCAGATTTTGATTTTGGAGCAGGGTATTGCTGGGCAAGAAAGCATAATTTGGATATCTGGGTTGAGTCTTTTCTTTTTTTCTTTTTTCTCTTTTTTCTTTTTTTTTGCATTAGCTGCATTCTTCATAATTCCACTAAAACTTGATGAGTCACATGAGCAAACTGTTTGGCATAGGGAAGCGTTATGGGCTATTATTTGAAAGTTTAGATTTGATTTGTTAGGTACAGGCTCATATAGCAAAACTCCGACGGCAAATAAGCTTGATAAATGGGCAGAATCAACACTTGAAATCTCCCTCCAATCAGTGAATGCACTTATGAAGAGTTTTGAGATTTCTACTTCGCATTGGTTTAGGCTGAAGCAAATGATGGCCATGTAGCAATGATATTTATTTTCTCAGAAGAGGGTAGTTTTATACCCCTCTCTTTGTACTTTCTTTCCATTTCTACCTCTTTATGTTTATATATGAGAATGTAGCTCTGTATCAATAAACAACATGCTGTATCATTTGATTAAATTGCAATAAAAATTAAATTTACTCCAGATATATGTTGTCTAAGTTAGTGCTTCAAAACTGCATTTGATATGTGTATGTTGACTCATTGACTAATGCTGATTTGTTCTGAGTAACAAGCAGGAGCTCCAAACTGGCATGAAAGTTCTCTGGTTTTTTAGATGTGCTAGCACTAGCCGGATTTTTTGGAGTTGCCTTCTCAATTCATGACTTGTGTAGTTATGATGACTGCAGAACCTGCACAGAGGGTTAGAATTTATGATTTAACATGTAAGCACACATCACCATATTCGAAAGTGACCTGCGAGCTGTAATAAGATATGCAATTGTGTTTTTGTCATCATCCTTGAGTTATTATACAGAGAAGCATTAGGTATTTTACTGTTGGAACAATTTTTAGATTATCTCCTACAAATGTCCATGTAAGACCCATATTCTTAGCTCAATCCAAGTTCAAGGTTTAGCTCAAACCGAATCCAACTAAACTAGGTATTTAAAGAAAATGTTGCAAGAGAATTTTCTTTTCTGTTCTTTTTTTTTTTTGCTCTTAGCCGTGACATGCACCCATATACACCAAGAAATCAGTTTTGAACTTAAGGTCTTGGTTTCAAGAAGGGTTGAAGAACAAGTATCTCCCTTCTTATTGTTATTCTTGATTAGGGATTGATTGTGAAAGGTTTTAAGAAGATTTAAGGTTTTTATTGTGATTTGATGATTGAATGATCTAAGAGTTAAACATTAAAATGTTTAGGGTTTGTCATACTGAAAATCAGTTTGATATGTTGTCTAGATTATGGGTTTTTTGAAGAACAAAATATTTTTTATGGGGGATATGTAAATTTGAAGACTGTCATATCAGAATTCTGGAAATCTCGATCAACCGGTGGACCGGTTGGGTTGAACTGGTCGACCGATTGACTGGTTTTGCTGGTCGATTGATTGGTCTAAACCGGCCGGCCGGTTGACTTGTGATAAAGGTTGACCAGTTGACCTAGTAATAGAGTTTTATCATGTCTCTTAGATTCGATCAGTTTGGGTTATATTTGGGATCGATCAGGTAAATCAATTCGGCATTATAATTATATTTTGGTCTTTAAGTTTAAAGTTTTAATCTTTTATGTTATTTTACTTCGAGTTGTTTTTTAGTGTTTTTCGTATTCATTAACGATCTTAAGTAGTCTCTATTTTTCTTTTGTTTTTGTTTTTCAAGTGAGTGGAATACTCTTTAATATGCATGTGATAGAAATAAATAAATATAAATATATATGTGTGTGTGTGTGTGTTGATTATATTACATGCACAACTAGTTAATTTCTTGAATATTTTTATATGTTGCTTTATTTTTGAAGTATTCATCCATTCTTGAATTTACACTTGCATTATATTGAACTAACTTCTATTCGATATGATATACATTGTTTTAATAATTATGTAAGTATCTATTATGTCCTGGTATTGATATATTTGTCAGTAACTTCATGCTAACGAAAAGTAGTTAGTCTATGAGTATATAGTATGTATGCCATGCTAATGAGAAAGACACCAACTTGTAGCGACTGATCCTCTCACATCCATCATCTTCGGGTATCATATAATCTCTGACATGTATTTCACTATCTTATGTTAATATACTTAGTATGTATATTTATATCAAGATATTTCGACTTACAAACGATTAATATCTAAGATGTATGTCAAATGTTATTTCCTCACTGAGTCGGTTGAACTCATCCCTCATTTTTAATCTTATTTCAATTTTTTAGTTTTTGTTAGCAGATAGATAATGTTGAGTGTTCTTGCTTTTTTAGTTTTGGTCGGTATGTCTTGTTCTGCGAGGCTTTCCTTTTAGTTGTTTTGATTCAATGTCTTAAACACTTTACTATTACTATTTTATTTAATGTTTGGATTTTATTTAATGAAATAAGTATTACCAACACTTGTTTTGTTTTATTCTTATGATGAAATATTTTGGAAGTTTACAAAACTTTGTGAATTTTTATATAATTTATTTAATGATATACATGTTCTGAAACTTAGTACAGGTGAGGTGTCTTTATGACATTGTTTTTATTGTTAGTCATGGACCTAGGATTCAGGCCTTGACATTCTGATATTCCTTTTTTTTTTTTTTACTTTGCCAGATAGTGGGTCATTGTTAGCAAGTGTATGCTGATTTATTGCTGGTTTTGCTACTACTTCGTTATGAAATTATCAGTTTGATGTTACGTTTAAGCAGCACTCCATATGTTTGATTTGTGTTTGGAGTACACAGGTCTTCTGGATGTTTCATTTCTGAATACATCTACCTGTCAACAATACGGTACTTGGCTGAATGTGGCTGTGAAACTTCAATGATTATCAGATTTTCTCAGAGTGAATGTTCTTGTGTTGGAACTCTTCTCAAATGGATTGTATGATATGTGTTAATAAAGCTCTGGACCCTTCTCAGGCACTTGTATCTGTCCTTTCGATGCTTTATTATGCATGATAAATACAAATGGGCACCGTTCTGGCTTTTGGATGGGTTCTACATATCTTTTCATGGAGATTTCAATTCCATCGTTAATTTCATCTCGGCTTAGCATACCAGGTACAACCCTATCCTTAATTCTTGCGATTGTTTTCAATTCTCTTGAAGCGGATCCAGCTAAATAATATTCTCCTCTCCTAAATTTCATGTAAGTCCATTTCTATCTAGGCTTCGTGTAGTCAAGGGCCTAATCTAAATTTTAATGCTTGCGCAATTGTCTTTTTAGTTGGTTATGTCATATTTGAAGTCCTTAGCTTTCAACAATCAATATCTGAGTGATAATCTTTGTTGGGTATGCCAACCTGCGTTCTTGGGCCCTTTGTTTCTGACTGCTTTCCTTACAACCCATGTGACTGCAATTTAGTTTTGCCTGTTTACATTGCCATGGTATCACCATCAGTTTCCGGACTGTATAGAACATGGACAAAGACAACAACATAACATTTTTCGACTGTTGTTTTTATGAACCAGATTCATTATTTTAGATAAATTTATACTGCAGAACCATGATGAGCATGCACCTTGACATCATCATTGAAGTTTATAATTGCATTTTCAGGACATTTCATTTTAAGCATTTCCTTTCAATCCATATCAGGGTTGATTGTTTTCCCATTTTCACATCCTGATGGCATAAACTCTGTAATGTTATTTGATTCTTATTTTTCTTGCTATCAGATGCCAATAACATGTGGAGGTGAAGATGAACAATCCCATCTCATATTGTTATTTCTTTTATTATTGTGATTGCAGGTCTTGCCAAATTTCTGGCAATAGCTATTAGAGAAAACTAATGTAACTAACAAAGAAATTTATGAAATTTGGGTTTGTTCATAAAAGATACCGAGTGGGCACAAGGTAGTTACAGTTGAGACGTAGTCTGCTTGGTAAACTAGCCGTTTGCAGTAGTTGAAATGATTGCAGGTCTTGCCAAATTTCTGGCGATAGCTATTAGAGAAAACTAATGTAACTAACAAAGAAATTTATGAAATTTGGGTTTGTTCATAAACGATACCGAGTGGGCACAAGGGAGTTACAGTTGAGACGTAGTCTGCTTGGTAAACTAGCCGTTTGCAGTAGTTGAAATGGTGTTAAAAGACCTTACCAGGTTGTCTTTACAGGAGAGTTTGGGGGCCACAGTAACATGGCCTTCATGTGCTCCAAAAAAGGCAAGGTCATTATCAACTGTAAAGAAAATACCTCAGTCTCTTGGTTTAGCGGGGCACCGCATTTCAGTGAGAATGGTGGGCCTTTGCAGTCTCCTATTTTCATTGTCCTTTCTCTCAATCAATCTCATTCACAGAACATGGGAGAGCTTCTCTCAAAGAAGGCGACCTGAGGGTAATTTTTCCCCATCTCTCAAGTAGTTTTAGATGTAAAACAATTTTTCATCTCACAGTTGTATATTATATTTGGCACATGTCACGTACGTAGTATGCATGTATTGTATACACCTATTATTATTATTATTTTTTATAACCTGGAGTATCCAGGCCAGTTTATACATATTATTACTAATCCCTGGACCAATAAATATCTTACAAGCTGATAAGGTATCGCATGTGTAAAAAACAGATGCTGAGGCAAGGAATTCCTCACCGGAATTACTAGATCACGACTCTAAGTACACCAATTATTTGTACGTGGGTATGTTTGCTCTGCATCAAGTGGCCCATTTAAAAGAAGAATTTTTTTCAATCTGGCTAGATTTTCGCATCTCTCCTTGGAATTTTTATACTTTTGGAAACTTGGATGGCTCTGGTATGGATTTTAACAAACTGATCAGTGTATAAAGTTTTGATAGGTGAATTGAGAGTTAAGACACTGTCATGGACATTTGGGAGCTTGAGAAAACAAAAGGAGAATGACGAGATGCTGGTCATTGCTGTATCAGGCATTAAATTTAGTTTTTTGCAGATCGCCTTCTGAGCCTAGAACCTGGAGATACAACTTTTCTGAAACCGAGCCAGGATAAGAAGAAACCATTGGTACACATTTGAAGTAGACTTTTATCTCCTATTTTGGTGGTGTTGGTTTGAGCTGGACCACATTTGGGAGCTTGATTTATATCTCGTATTTCGTTAAATTGTGCTCTAAACTGAACCCTTTCTTTAATCTAGAAGCATTACTCTTCTGGACAATCTGATAGATAGGTTTGCAAATTTAACGAAAAAAAGCACAATTACTTCCATTATTATTAGGTCATTTAGAGCCCGGCTTCTCCATCCCTCAGTGAAAATCGTGATTATTGTGGAAGACAGGCTTAAGTGTGCATGTTGGCTGTTTAGAAACAAAAGCTTATGCCTTGCTACATTAGCATCTAACACAAATGATCAAACAGCAGTTCAACTATTAGTTTCGCTGCTGTTTCATGCCTGTCAAAATCCGTTTATTGCAAGTACATAGAATTCAGAGAAGCCAGTTGTCCCTGACATTATCCATGAAAGCTTAGCTAATGTAGCTTTCTCATAAATGGACATTAGCTAATATCATCAAGTTGATTATTTTATATATGTTCTGAGAATTTTATAAAACAGTTGTCTATAGTAACTATGGTCCCTTATTTTAGGATAAAATCTAATGATGTTCTAAAATACAATATACTGAATAGTGCGCATAGTGGTTCATTAAATGTTCATGTTAATATTATTATTTTTTTAATTTGCCTCATGAAGTGTAAAATTGATGGTAGGAGATTTTTTAATGGTAAAATTAATAATTTTAAGTGAAAATGGGAAAATAATAATGAATGAATAAAAAAATTTAAAATTTTAAGAACAAAAGTATTTATTCTTATTTTTATATAAATAATGCTATGAGAATTAAGATGTATAAGTTTGGGGAGTAGAAAAAAATAAACTTTTTGTTGGGCAGCTTAGAGAGTATTTATATACCTAAACTTTGTTGTTTGGATGGAGTATAGGGGTTAGAAAGTTATTTTTTTCTAGATAATATTTATTATAGATAAAAATTTATTACACATCATGATGGAAATATTTTAGGCCTTTGAGAGACCATTAACACCTATAGAAAAATAATTGTTGTTTTTATTTTTTATACATCTAAAAATATAGATAGATGATAGTTTCTAACATGAAAATATCATGTTAATAATTTTAAATAATTTTAAGATAGAACCCTATGGTCCTAATATGAATCTTTAGGATTGATTAGATCTAGCATGTAGCTAAACCTAGAAAAAATAAATATAATAATTCATTAAACCTCTAATATCTTAAACTTGATTTGTGGCTAAATTTATTTTTTTCATCTTTGTAACTTACCAGATCTATAATGCTTTAAACTAAATTCATAGTTGAACTAAAATATATTAAATCTGATATCTTATCAAATCTATAATAACTTTAACTTAGCTAATAACTAAGTTGAATTATATTGAATTTAATATCTAATTACATCTATAATAATTTGAACGTATAAGAACTTAAATTCAAGTGCTTTAATTTGAACGTATATTCGAAAGCTTTAGGTATTGTTCTATAACAAACAAAAAAAAATCAGCTTTAGGTGTAGAAGACATGAGACTGTTCAAGTGCTTCGCGTATTGATGTTTGTAGGTCATGAATAAACTAGATTATCCACGAATCCACGAACAAGGAGGACATTTTAGATTTTATAGCTTAAGCTCAGGATATTCTAAGTAGGTGTTACAATGTGAAGGTGGGGGGTGAAGGTGTTGAGGTCAAACACCTACAAAGCTAGCAGTCATATGCACATGGGTTTGCGAATACTTGGACGTACGTGCTGTCCAAGAACTGTTGTTTTATCTGTCACTCGGTCCACAGAATCACAAGCCCTACAGCCACAAGGAACCAAAGCATTCACAGGCTTGTACTCTCCAGTACACTTATTGTGGGTCCGTGATTTCAGGTCTTTGAGGGGGGGGGGGGGGGGGGGGGGGATG